GTTCTGGATGCAGAGCAGAACCAGAACCAGAAGATCTGAAGGGTCTAGACGGCTGGTACAGCAATAACAGATCTTTAATGTATTGTGGTGCTAAGCCGTTCAGTGATTTATAAACTAACAGTATTTTAAAGTCTATCCTCTGAGCTACAGGGAGCCAGTGTAGGGACTTTAAAACTGGTGTTATGTCTCTATCTTCCTGGTTTTAGTGAGAACAGCAGCAGCAGCTTCTGGATCAGCTGCAGCTGGAGGATTGATTTATTAGTCAGACCTGTGAAGACGCTGTTGCAGTAATCAATGCGGCTAAAGATAAACGCATGGATGAGTTTCTCTAGATCGCGCTGAGACATCAGTCCTCTAATCCTGGAGATGTTCTTCAGGTGATAGAAGGACGACTTTGTGACTGTCTTAATGTGGCTCTGAAGGTTCAGGTCAGAGGTCATCACTACTCCCAGGTTTCGGGCTGATCGCTGGTTTTAGTTGTAATAACTGAAGCTGTGCATTGACTCTAGTTCGCTCCTCTTTAGGTCCAAAAATAATAACTTCAGTTTTGTTTCTGTTCAGCTGGAGAAAGTTTTGTCTCATCCACACATTTATTATGTAAAACCCTGTGGGGACCAGTTTCCTGACATGTACTATGCTGTGGGTCCCCACAGTGAGGGTTGGGCTGTAATGAATGGAAGTCAATGGAAAGTCCCCACAAAGATAGCCATGCAAACGTGTGTGTCAGTGTCAGTGTGTGTGTGTGTACCTCCAGTATGAACACCTTGGCGGCGTGCGGTCTGGTGTTGCTATGGTGCCAAGCCATGTACTCGTCCACGCGTGCGCGTCGCTCCGGTTGCCATGGATACCAGTGTTCAGGGATGTCGAACGTGGTGGCCAGGTACTTCAGGATGGCGTCACTGCAGCAGGCGGACAGGTGAGAGATGAGAAGAAACCCCAGAGCTCCACCTCAGGCTCTGCAAGCCTGTTGGTATGTTAGAGGTCAAAGGTCATGCATATGAAAGTGCACCTCTCCGTGAGGATGAAGCCGCCGTCCACCAGCACCGGGACCTTCTGCATCGGGTTCAGCTTGGAGAACTCCGAGGTTCGGTGTTCCCCTGCAAGCATCAGGGATTCAGATGAAACTACCTTACAGTCTAGCCATCACCAGGTCGTTTCATGAGCCGAACGCAGGAGCCGACTCCTCCGAACCGGGTCCAACTGTTAAACTTTGCCTAAATTTCCTCCAGTCCTCAAGATCATAAATAAACATTTAAACGATCATAATTTACACGGAGTTTGGAGAAACTAGGTAAGAGTTCAACGGATCAAAGTCCAGAGCAGGAACGGCGCAGTTCTTCAATGAGTGGACCGGATCAGTGGCTCAATGAACTGGTTAGCTAACCTGCTGACTACTTAGACTGGTAACTCGTTAACTTGCTAACTGGTTAGACTGGTAACTGCACACCTTTCCGCAGAGCCACGCTGTGGATCCGGTGCGGGATCTTGGTGCGGGTCAGCAGGATGTGGACGGCTCTGCAAGGCTGCGACAGCAGGTCCAGGTACACCTCCACCTCGCGTCCTGTTGCCATGGAGACCAGGTGTTTTTTGTTAACCAGGTGAAAAAGTCTCAAACTGTAGGTGAATGCAGTTGCTCTCCCTCTGCGGTCCTCCGTCTGTCAGCGGCTCCTCTGCTCCCCCTGCTGGCAGCGAGGCGAACCGCACAGGCCGCTGTTCTGTCAGATCAGCATACCTTGTCAGATAGTCATACCTTAGCTCAGACATGTATAGCTGTCATTACCATATGATTTTATTTAACCAGCAACATAGAATCATGACGTAGATCATCATACACTTTGTTATGAACAGCTGTATGACATCCTGACTTAGCGGTTAATGAGTTTTACACCAGCCTGTGTTGTAGTTGACTGCAGCT